GTAACAGCCACCGCCCACACTGACACGGAGCCCCTGCCTGAGAGCTGGGCCCGGGGTCACTCGGAGGCCAGTGGAGCAAACCAGAGGGGGGCCCCCTCTGAGCCCCGCATCGAAGCCCAAGCGGGGAAGCGGCCCTGGAGCTCCCCTCCTGCAGTGGGCAGATGGGAGGTAGGACTTCCTGGCCGGCGGGGGCGCAGCACGGGTCACCCCACATGGCAGAGAGCGACGGGAGACTGCGGGCAGGAGCGGGAGAGGACGGGTGGGTCTGTGCTCGAGACCCTCGCCATCGAGGCGCGGATAGCTTGAGAAGGGCTCCGCCTAGCACCCCCGTTAGCCTGCCCTCCCGAGGCCCCTGCAGCCGGCCCCCTGGGGGCAGGCAGACCCGATGCCAGGGGGAAGGGGAGCAGGTGAGCCCCTCCCCCCACCGCCCGCCCCGCGGGCCACACCCCGTGGGACCAGCCGACTGACAGCACCTTCCTCTTACAGAGCCGCCTGCACAGAGCACAGCACGGGATGTGTCACTGTCACTGGTGTCCCCACTCTCCTGACGTGGAAGCCAGAGCCCTGCTCGAGGCCACACGGCAGACCCGATGCAGGCCTCACAGGAGGATGGGCGCCCAGCCCAGGGCCACGCCGTCGCGGTTGGGACAGCAACTCTGCTCCCGCGCAGGCCCTGAGGGAGGGCGTGATTACCAGGTCAGGGCCAGGTCCTCACCGCCATGGGCTCGCAGTCTGGTCGGGCACACACAGGCAAAGGGAAGGGCCTGCACTGCGTCGCCGGGCACCCATTAGGGAGCTCTACTTGGCGATCAGAACACGCAAGTCAGGGGCTCCAACCATCCTGCCTTATTATCCCTCAGAATAAGAAGTCTACACGTAAGAAGGTTCTAGCTTGGCTAATTCAGGGCTCAGTGACAGCCACAGGACGTCAACAAAGACCCGGGAGCCTTCCCTGTTTCTGCCCTGCCAGTCTCTGCTTGGTGGCCATACTTTGCCTCATGGTCCCAAGCTGGCTGCTGTGGCACCGTGAGTCCCAAGTCCCACCACGGCACCCCACATCCCAGGTGGCATCCAGGAAAGATGGGGGTGGGGTCTCACGGTCACACTGCTGTCTTAGTTGGAGGTCTGCAGGGAAACATGGGGAGCCGAGCTTTTCTCCTACTTCATTTCTGCCATTGGCGAGAGCCTCAGCTCAGACCATGAGAACTGGCTTTCTAGCCACAAGCTCCTTGGTGGAGCGCTTCGTCTGTTTAGGTCTGGCCTTAGGCAAAAGTGCTCTTTTAGCAAATGTGAAAGCTTCCCCCAGCTTTCAGGCTGGCTGCCTTCCACTCATACTCACCCCTCTCGCTCATTAAGATTTACCAAAAGCCGCAAGAAGCAGTCGGTTAATACTGATATTCTGAATATCTCCCTACGATTTTCCCAGCCTTGATGAATTTGTGGTCTGGGAGCCACGGCCCCATAGGTCACAGCAGTGTCTGATTTTATGTGAGTTCATCCTAATGACCACCAGCCTCTCGCCCGGGGCACAGGGCCTCACTGCCCAGTGCCCCGCCCTCCCTCGGGCAAGTCCGCCCTGGAGGGCCTGTTAGTGGTCGTGCCCCTATTCCCGGACATAAATTCTATGTCGTCAACAATATGAGAAAACCTGAGTAAAAGTGTAAACTAATAGGGAATTATTGCCCCATATGTAACGTGTTGGGTGTTGCCCTCCAAACCCTCACACCCACCCAGAACCTCAACGTGGGGCCTTATTTGGAAACGGGGTCATTAGGGTGGGTCCTAATCCAATGTGACAGGTGTCCTTCTCAAAAGGAAGCATCTGGACACAGACACAGACCCGCAGCAGGGAGACGGCCGTGGGAGGAGGTGGCAGGGATGCAGCTGTGAGCCAAGGAACGCGAGGAGCGCGGGCGGCCACCGGAAGCCGGGAGAGGCCTGGACAGACTCTCCCCGCAGCCTTGGACGGAGCCAACCCCACCGACACCTTGACTTTACACTTCTAGCCTTCAGAACAGTGAGAAAGTTAATTTCTGTGTTTTTAAGCTACCAAGTTTGTGGCATGCTGTTCCAGCAACCCTAGGAAATACACACGCCGTGAGACACGGAGTCCAGAGGTAAGGAGGTTCTAGGACTGGTTCAGTCAGTGGGCCAATGATGTCATGAAAGATCCAGGTGTCTTCAATCCTCAACATATCAGCAATATCTGCCCTCATGGTCACAAAACGGCTGCTACAGCGCCATGCATCCAGGCAGGTCTGTTATCATCCAGCAAAACAGAGGGTGTGCCCTCCCGGTGCCTCCTTTATAGAAGATGAGAATGGCCATGATTGGCTTGTGGGGGCCATCTTCCCTGAGACCACAGGAGGGCGTAGAGGGGGACATCCAAGCAAAATAGGGAAAGCCAGCAGTGCCTACCTTGAAGGCACCCAGGGCCCCGCCAGCGAGTGGCAGCAGGGATTGCAACAACCAGGCAGGAGGGGACTCTGTTGTGGAGACTGTGGGGGGGCAGAGGGTAGAAGCAGGTCCCCCGTGGGTGGCTGGGCAGCAGACCCTCAGCCCTGCACGCAGCGCCTCTTCTGAGCCGGCCTTGGGTTCTGGTCACCCTCGCCGCCTGAACGTGTGGCCTCTGGGCTCCCAGCGCCGTCACCCACACCTGCCCGAGGGAACCGCGCCGTCACCCACACCTGCCCGAGGGAACCGCGCCGTCACCAGGGCGTCTCGGGCTCACGTCAGGACCCAGGTGGGCCCACGACCTCCTGAAGCTGCCGGAGCCGGCAGGGCGGGGCGATCTGGCCGCAAGCCTGCTGACTGCCCGCCGTGGGCTAAGTTGTGTCCCCCAGACAGACACCCTGAAGTCCTAACCCCAAGCCTGTGCGCGTGGACGTGCCTGGAATCAGGGACTTAGCGGGTGGGGGTGGCTGTGAGCTCGCCCCGGTGAGTGTGGGCTGCCGCCCAGCGCCCCATGCCCTTCTGAGCAGAGGGGGGCTTGGACCCAGACGCACAGGGAGGAGGCGGCCATGTGAGGACAGAGGGGCACGTGGAGCCGGGGAGGCAGGAAGGACTCCCCGCCCCGAAGCCCTTGGAGGGAGGCGGCCCTGCCGGCACCTTGACTCTGGCCTTCGGGCCCCCGGACCCAGGAGAGGAGAAAACTGTTGTTTCCTCGCCCAGTCTGGGATGCTTTGTTACGGCGGCCCCCGGACCCGCAGCGTCCCCAATATCCGTTCCTGCAGGACCCGGGCTGCAGCGGCCTCTGCAGAGGCCCGGTGTGGACGCCTCGCCCCAGAGCCGTGGCAGCTCGGCGTGGCTGCCCCACGCGAATCTGAGTAGCGAGCAGGCCACATCGAGGGGCCCTGTGTGGGCTGGGGGTGATCAGAGCCTCCTCCACGCACGCGCTTCCCCCTCCCAGTTCACACCACGGCCAGAGCGGCCTCATCGCAGGGCTCCCCCAAGCCTCTCTCTGCTGCAGCCAGAATCTCCCTCCAGCCCCAGGGCCTCTGCCAGCTGCCGCCCCCGCCCGCCCCCGCCCACCCCCGCCCCCGCCCCTGCCC